CTATATTAAAATACCGGAAATGACAACCACAGGGGAAGTAGATAAACACTCAGCCTTTTAAGTTAGGCTTGCTGATGTTTAGCAAGCATTAACTAATTGAGACAACTCCTGGGTGAGGTGTTTCTTTACCTTTTCTAGCAATGTCATCATCTTAGAGATAGAAACTTAGCAAAAAGCTAAATAATTTTGGGCCAGGTGCCGGTGTCTCACGCCTGTAATCCTAGCTACTCAGTGTCTGGCATGTAACAGCTGAGATCTGAGGCTCACAGTGCAAAGCCAGCCCAGGAAGGAAAGTCCATAAGACATCTCCAATAAACCACCAGAAAACCGGAAGTGGCACTGTGGCTTAAATGGTAGAGCACTAGCCTTGAGCTGAAGAGCTGAGGGATGGTGCCCAGGCCCAGAGTTCAAGCCCCACAACTAACCACAAAAAAAAAAAAATTAATTTTGCACAGGAAATAATTACCTGCTTGAAAGATAACAGCACTTTGCATCTAAATAACACAAGCACCCATTAGAAATGCTAATGAAATGCTGAGACACTTGGAAAGTATGTTCTCTCAAGGCTGGCATTCATGGTTTCTACTTTGAACCATGCCTCTACTTCTGGCTTTTTATTGGTTATTTGGAAATAAAAAATCTCACAAATTTGACTGCTCCCAGTTAGCTTCAAACAGATCTTCAGATCCCAGCCTCCTGAGTAGCTAGGATTACAGGTGTGAGCCACTCATGCCTGCCTACCAAAATATTCTTAAAAGATCTACCTTTCTGCACAATCCTTCTAGCACGCTATCATAGTCTTCCATTAGTGTCCACAGCGGGTGGAGTCCAGAACCTAAACTCAACTGTACTGAACTACTAAGCTCTTATCTAAAATAGTGTAGTATTGCACATAACCTACGTACAATTTCCTGTATACTTTAAATCATTTCTGGATTACATATACCATCTAATGTAATATAATGCTATGTATTTGTTATACTGTGTTCCTTAGGAAATTAGGATGGTACAGGCATCATTTCCCAATACTTATGCATTTGGATGAACCTGAAGACCTACATATAAAAAGGCCATCAACAGCCAAGCACCAGTGGATCACACCTGTAATCCTAGATATGCAGGAGGCTGAGATCTGAGGATCATATTTCAAAGCCAGCCCAGTCAAGAAATTCCATGAGACTCTTATCTCCAATAAACTCCAAACAAATTTTGGAAGTGGCATTGTGGCTCAAATGGTAAACACTTGCCTTGAGGAAAAGCTGAGAGACAGCACCCAGGTCCAGAGTTCAAGCCCCAGGACTGGCAAAAAAAAAAAAAAAAAAAAGCCGGCATCTCTGTAGATTACATCTGGTTTCTTGGTAGATATCTCTAAAAAAGTTACTTTGTTCTTTTTGACTCTGAGACCAGGTTCTACTGTGGGCATATTGATTGGAAAGGTGATCTTTTGGGAAGTATCACTGACAACTCTGAGGTGGAGTCTAGCCACTAAGGTAGAAAGAATTCCACAGGATCATAATTTAAATTCATATACCCATCCAAAGGAACCTCTGGGCACATTTGCAATCCCATAATTAAGACTGATAATAGCACCATAAAACCCAAGCATTAGCTTCAGAGGAGAATGTCTGAGTAAGCATACTATCCTAAAAGCAAACTGACTCTTAGAAGCTAGGTGCATGGGGGTAGTCATAAGAGTACCACATTTCCTGGCTACCAACCCACCCTACTAAGTGATCTGAGCAATAAGTAATGTAGTAAAGAAATTGCATTGCATGACTTAACTTGCAAGTGGAATTAAGAGCATGTGAATTAGGAGTACTTGACCATTTGCTGCCGGGAAGCCTCCAGATCTACCTCACTGTTTTGTTTTGCAGTATTTCAATACTAGTGAAGCTGAAGTTCCTACACTGGCTCATTGCAACCACTTGAACTTCAATGGCCCTGTGCTGGGCTTTGTTCTTTGATATTCTCTTGAGAAACCTCTCCCACTCCCATTGGTGGTTTCATTGTTTACCAGCTCTTTAAATTCTAAATATTTAGTATTAACCCTTTGTCAGTTGTATATGTCTCCATATAGAGGTTTGAAGCTTACCCCTGAAACAGATTGGCTCTGAAATGTACTAGCTGTGAAGTTTAGGTATTAGGAGTTGGGTTAGTCAGCTTTCCATCACTTTAATATGCCTGAGATCATCAACTTAAAGGTTTATTTTGGCCCACAGTTTTGGAGATTTTCAGTCCATGCTTTCATGACATTGTAACCCTGTGACAGTATACCAGGATGGCAGTACATGGTAGGGGAGGCTCTCTACCTATGGCTACCAGGAAGTGAAACAACCAAGGAATCAGTGTTCTAATAGCCTCTTAAAGGGCACATCCCAATAACGTAACTTTCTTCTACTAGGTCCCACCTCATTCTCCTCCCCTTCTTTCCTGTCTCCTCCCCTCCCCTTTTCTAGTCCCTCCCCATTTCTCCTTTCCTTTCTTCCCCTCTCCCTCTCTCCCCCTGTCTCTTTTCTGACTGCAAAGATGTCACTATACTGCTGAGCCACACCTGCAGCCCAGTTTTTCACTGGTTATTGTTAGGATAGGATCTTGCTCCCCAGCCCAGGTGTGTGCCTAAGCTGGGATTTCCCCTCCTTTTAAGTTTTTGTGATCACTGGGACTGTGATGCCAGCCACAGCTTCTCTTTATGTAGAAGGAATCCTTTTCCCAGGTTGGCCTGACATCTCAATTTTACTCTCTCGGTTTCCCATGTAACTTGGGATGACAGTGTGAACCATGAGTTTTTGTTTTTCACATGAAAACATCAGTTCCACCAAACCTGAGGTTTGGGTTACTCTTAGGGCCAGAGGTATCTTCTGAGAGAAGCGGGGGACAATAGAAAGCAATAGATGTGAGCTTAGGGCTTTGTGGGTCATGGTAGAAGTTTAGGGTTTTTATTTTGTTTTGTTTTTTGCCAGTGCTGGGGCTTGAACTCAGGTCCTGGACACTGCCCTGGGCTTGAATTATTTTTTTATTTTTGTCTCAAGGCTATTGCTCTATCACTTAAACCTGTTACAGATAAGAGTCTCATGGACTTTGCTGCCTGGGTTGGCTTTGAATTGTGATCTTCATATCTCAGCCCCCTGAGTAGTTAGGATTTTAGGCGTGAGACACTGGTACCCAGCTTAGATTGTATTTTTAAGTGGAAAGCCATTAGAAGTTTTCAAGAAGAGTGAAGATCTGACTTATGTCTGTTGGAAATTAACCAGATATTAGTGGCTCACACCAGCAAATTTCTAGCTACTCAGGAGACTGATGTCTATTGAGGATCTTAGTTTGAAACCAATTGGAACAGACAAACTTGAGAGACTTAAATGGCAAAAAGCTAGAAGTGGAGCTGTGGCTCAAGTGATAGAACACACACACAACCTTGAGTTGGACCTGAGTTCAAATTCAGTGTCAACACACACACACACACACATTTTAAAAGATAATCTGATTAGCATGATGGCAGCAATATCAGAGGTAGAAAGTTGCATCTGTAAGAGGATGGTAACGATCACATTTTAGATATGCCAAATTTGATACATTGTATTCCCTTGTGGCTTATAACATCAACACCTACAGAGAATTTATGAATAAGAAGGAATTGTAATACCTACCTCTGAAACACTACACCCAGCTCATTCAAGTTATTTATAAGAATCTGACATTAATGGTGGTTGATGATAGTAGGACCCATGCATGCGTTCAGTAGTTTCTATGTGTCAGGAGTTATATTAACCATTTCATTAACCTACCCTCATCGTAGCATCATAACAAACCTTATTAGGAGTCATTATCTGTGTTTTACAGGTGAAGAAATGAAGGTTCATGAGGATGCTTTAGTTATTCAAGGTCAATCCTGTAAGTGGCAGATTTGAAACTGGGGAAGGTCTCGTTGGTGCCAATACTGTTCCTTTGAACCACTTGCCAAACCATGTTCTGGAGGCGAGTGGGGGCTTGAATCAGTGGTTTGGGCAGTCACTCGGAGACCTGCCGAGCCCGGAGCTGGGTCAAACATGTACATTTCACTTCAGTGCAGAAATGTTCATTTGAGAAGGGACCTCCGTTCCTCGGGTTCTGTAAACCTAGGAGACTCTGGCCTTGGCGTGGAATGATTTCGGGTTAATTTCAGACGGAGAGAAGCCAAAGGAGACGGAGCTGCTTCTCCGCCTACTGGGAACGTGGCTGTGGAAACCGACCCAGACCACAGCTCCATTTTTCCCCGGGGATCAGCGAGCCCGCCATCAAAGCAGCTTGTTGTTCCAGCAGCTGGAGACGCCAGGACCGGGACGCAGCCCCAGAACTGAGGCTGCCTTGTTCCCTCCCCAGAGGCCTCTTTCCCAAACAGCGGAGGCGGCACGGCGGGGGGGCCCGGCTTTCCCAGGGGGGTCGAGGCTAGACCCCATCCGAACGCTGGACCCTGTGTATTGCTTCATCTTTGCACTGAGAGGACGACACGAACCACCACCACAACATCATCCCCCCCCCCTCCAAACACAGACCCCCCCCACAGGAACTATGTTAACCAGCTCATAAACGTTTCCTGCTAGAAAGCGGCTTTCGTGGCCGCCTGTTTGATCCAGGGTCAGCTCAGGGGGGAGGGAGGGATAACGCGAGCCGGCCAGCGGAGAACAAGCGACCCCCTCCGGGCCCCGCGTCGCCACGCCCCTCGTCCCGCCCTTCTCGCGTAGCCTCGCCCCTCTCCTCTCTCACCATTGGCTGGTCCGAAAGACGCGGGGCGTTGTCTGTTTGAATGGGAGCGCCTGGAGCTGGACGCACGCGCAGAAGAACGCAGGCACTGGGGGGGGCGCCGGCGGCGCCGCGGGACTCCTGAGTGACAGAGGGTCGCTCGGGAGTAAGCGAGGGGAGGCCAGCGCTCTGGCCCACGTGACCAGCCGGGGGCGGGCGCAGGGGGCGCGCCCGGGGCTCCCGCGGTGCCCCTGCCTGGCGCGGCGCCCGCGGAGAGCGGACTCGCCCGGGGGAGGAGGCGCCGTGGCCCCCAGTCTGAGGCCGGAGGCGGCTGCTCGCAGAAGCCCGCCGCGCACCCCGTACTCTCCGGCCAGCGGAAGGTGAGTCCTGCTCGGCTCCCGCGGGAGCGAGTGGGCCGGGGGCCGGCGGCTCGGGACACCCCCTTTGTTCCGGTCCGGGAACCCGGCAGTCGGGGTGGGGAGCGGCGGGTCGCCCCGTGGCCAGCGCTCGGTGGCGTTTTCGCGTGAGGAGTTTTGCGGGAGCCGCAAGTTTAGGAGTTTAGTGACGTCCCCCGAGCCCGGAGCGTCGCCAACCGCCGACCGTGGGCGCGGTGCCCGCGCGGGGTCGGCGCGGGTCGGACCCCGCACCTGCGGCCCCGCGCCCCGCGGGGTCGGGCCGCCTGGGTCCGCACGGACCGTGCGTCGCCTGTCCACTCGTGACCTTTGGAGCCACCCACCTGTCGCCTCCCGGTCGGTCCGCTGACCCCGGTGAAGTGGCTTGTGCAACGCGGAGTTGGCAGTGAGCGCGCACGGGTGAGCGTGTGCCTCCCGAGCCCGGCCGGCCGCCTTCCCGCGCGCGGTGGGGGGCTGCCGGGCCCGGGAGGGCCGGGACCCGCCCGGGGACGTCGGCGCCGTCTCCGACCCGCCGGAGGAGCGAGCCGGAGGAGCGAGCGAGCGAGGCTGGAGAGTTGGCGTGTGCTGTGCACCGTTCAGCCGGGAAGGAAGGGGTGTGTGTGTGTGTGTGTGTGTGTGTGTAAGTGCGTAAGTTAATGTGATCAGCCGAGCTGGATGGTCAGGGTGTGTGTGTGTGTGTGTAAATTAACGTGATTAACCGAGCTGGATGGTCAGGGTGTGTGTGTGTGTTTGTGTGTGTAAGTGTAAGTTAACGTGATCAGCCGAGCTGGATGGTCAGGGTGTGTGTGTCTGTGTGTGTGTGTCTGTCTGTCTGTGTGTGTCTGTGTGTGTGTAAGTGTAAATTAAGGTGATCAGCCAAGCTGGATGGTCAGGGTGTGTGTGTGTCTGTGTGTGTGTCTGTGTGTGTGTAAGTGTTAGTTAACGTGATCAGCCGAGCTGGATGGTCAGGGTGTGTGTGTCTGTGTGTATGTAAGTGTAAGTTAACGTGATCAGCCGAGCTGGATGGTCAGGGTGTGTGTGTCTGTGTGTGTGTAAGTGTAAGTTAACGTGATCAGCCGAGCTGGATGGTCAGGGTGTGTGTGTGTGTGTGTATGTCTGTAAGAGTAAGTTAACGTGATCAGCCGAGCTGGATGGTCAGGATGTGTGTGTGTATGTGTGTGTGTGTGTCTGTCTGTAAGTGTAAATTAACGTGATCAGCCGAGCTGGATGGTCAGGGTGTGTGTGTGTCTGTTTCTGTGTGTCTGTGTGTGTGTAAGTGTACATTAACGTGATCAAACAAGCTGGATGGTCAGGGTGTGTGTCTGTGTATCTCTGTGTGTGTGTCTGTGTGTAAGTGTAAGTTAACGTGATCAGCCGAGCTGGATGGTCCAGCTGCCTCTCCCGGGTGCCCGGGAGATCATCTGGCTCACATGCGGCCCCCTGCGACGCCTGCTCAGCTTTGATGGTTGTAAAGGTGGAGGGGGACCTAGGAGGGTGGGCACGATAGGGGGGCGGGAGGGGGGGCGGGGCCGCCTCAGACTGACTCCTACTTAGACCTGGCCTCCTTGAATGGGTTTCTGGCAAGCCGTTTTCTCAGGCTGTTGTTTAGAAGGACGGTGTGCGGGTTTACCAAGTTAAAAGCTGCGTGGTCCTGTTGTAGGTGCTTAGCTCCTACCATCCTCTGAGAAGATAAGCGCGCTAGTTGTATTTTCTTCCTTTATTGAGTCAGACGTGCGGCACTACACATGTATTTTAGTATAAACCCGAGACTTGGTCCTAGGCTAAGTATAACAATAATAACATTCAGTAGTTTTAAACGTTATTGGCTTTTTTTTTTTTGTCTTTTCTTTTTTGGTACTGGGGATCGAACCCAGGACGTTGCGCTTGCTAAGCAAGCGCTTTGCCACTGAGCTACATCCCAGCCCACGTTATTGGCATTTTTTTTTCTTTCTCTCTCTCCCAATACTGGGGATTGAACCCAAGGCCATGCACAAGAGGTAGGAAAAAAGCTTTACTGCTTAGCTCCATCCTCATCTCTTTTTAAGGCAATGTCTTGCTGAGTGTCCCGGGTGGATCTGAACTTGCAGTCCTTCTGTCCTAATCTCCTGCAGGAGTAGCTGAGGTTGCAGGCAGGCATGGGACACAAATGGCTTTTTCTTTTCTTTGGGGGGCGGGGGACGGGGAGGGCCGAGCCAGTCCTTGGGCTTAGGATCTCCTATTCTCACTGGGTTTTTTTGTTGTTGTTGTTTGTTTGTTTGTTTTGCTTAAGGCTTGTGCTCTATCACTTGAGCCCTACTTCCACTTCTGGCTTTTTGCTATAGTTAATTGGAGTTAGGAATCTCTTGGATTTGTCTGCCCTGGCTGACCACACTCCTCAGAGCTCAGCCTCCTAAGTAGCTAGGGTTAAAGGCATGAGCCTCGGGCACCCAGCTAAAATGGCCTTTTCTTTTCTTTTGGGGGGGGGGGGTCTGGTAGTAGGGCTGAACTCTGGGCCTGGGCGCTGTCCCTCAGCTCTTCCGCTCAAGGCTAGCGCTCTACCACTTGAGCCACAGCGCCACTTCTGGCTTTTTTCTTTTTGTTTCTGTGGTGCTGAGGAATCAAACCTAGGGCCTCAGGCATGCAAGGCAAGCGCTCTACCTCTGAGCCACCTTCCCAGCCCAAAATGGCCTTTTCTTAAGCATAAAATAGTTCTAAGATTTACTTAAGAAAATAAAATGTCGTAGTCCTTTGGAATCCTAAAAAATTGAAAACTTGAATAGGCATTCGACTTTATAACAACAACTTACAAAATAGCAACTATTCACATCATTCTTAATTATTGACCATTTTGTTATGTACAAAGCCAAACACTGAGGTAGGTGCTTAAATTATATCTGTTTATGACAACACAGGTAACTGTCATTCTGCCCACATCACCTCTGAGATTTTAGCAAAGATTATGTTACTAGTAAGTAAGTCATACTGTTGGGATTCAAACCATGGTCTGACCCCAGAGCACATGCTGATCGCTTCTGTTTGTCTATTTAAAGCCCCACTTGTCTCTGCATCACATTCGTAGGGCATTATTCTACTTTAAGATGCTTGTAGATGCTGTCTTGTTGAGGGAATATTTCCATGCTTCTGAAACTGCCCTCTAGCCGTCACTGCCATCTGAGTCACATATTTTCAGTATCCTTTTAATCATCTTTCTAAAAACATTTAAGAGTAAAACTTTTCTGAGTTTCTTGCATAATTATGATGAGCTCCATTTACCATGGAGAAAGAAATACGCTGAAGTCAGGTTTTCTCATTAGTATAGAATCCCCTTGATCAACACAGGATCTTGCCCATGCCGGGCAAGTGCCATTCCATACCATTGACCTGCCCTCTTAACCCAGTATTACAGAATGCTTTTCTGCTTCATACATAGTTCCTGTTTTCTTCCCAGGCAAGAAATCAAAGAAGTTTGTTTGACATCTATTTTTAAATATATATTTTTATTGTAAAGATATTGTACAGAGGGGTTACAGTTACATGAGTAAGGTAATGAATGAGTACATTTCCTACTGAGGGGTTTTTGCTCCCTCCTTTGTTGACATCTATTATGTATTTGGTATTCTGTGGTAAGAAAAGGCTTCTTGTTCAATAGTTGTTTTCTAATATCTTTCTTTCTTGTCTCTTCTTTCTGCCCTATATGATGCTACCAGTTTATCTTCCGGGTATACATCCAACTTTGCTATTTCTTTTTTTTTTTTTTTTGGTCAGTCATGGGTCTTGAACTCTGGGTCTGAATGCTGTCCCTCAGCTCTTCAGCTCAAGGCAAGTGCTCTACCACTTGAGCTACAGCGCCACTTCCGGAGTGTACTTTGGTACTGTTCTACCTTCTCAAACGTCATTTTCACTCCTAACTGGGTGCTTTTCCTGGGACCCGCAGCTTGAGACAGTTCTTTTCAACAGAATGCCTTTCTTGCATTTGCCTAATTAGAGCTGCCATCCTTCAAGATGTGATACAGCTTTCCTTGCTTCTGTCTTTTTAGATCCTTATTGTCTCATCATTCTATTATTATTTTGTGCTGGCACTCGGGCTTGAACTCAGCATATAGATGCTGCCCTTTAGCTGGTGCTCTATGATTTGAACCAAACCTTTACTTCCAGCTTCTTGCTAGTTAATTGGAGATAGTCTCACAGACTTTTCTGCCCAGGCTACCTTCCGCTTGTTGGTAGGATTACAGGCATGCACTGCCCAGTTCTCATAACATTATTTTTTTCTTTTTCTTTTTTTTTTGGCAGTCATGGGGCTTGAACCCTGGGCCTGAGCGCTGGCCCTGAACAATTCCACTCAAGGCTAGCACTCTGCCACTTGAGCCACAGCGCCACTTCTGGCTTTTTCTGCTTATGTGGTGTTAAGGAATCAAACCCAGGGCCTCATGCATGCAAGGCAAGCACTCTACCACTGAGCCACCTTCCCAGCCCTTCATAACATTATTAAACTGCATAGAAACATTTACTTTCCCATAGAAGGGTTATTGCTAACTTTAGAGTAGACTCATGTTTGAATTACTTTCCTATGAAGAATTCTGAGCTAAACCTCTACAGACTTTTTTTTTCATTTATAATCTTTCAAATTTGGGATTTATGTCTGTGTTTGAAAATGATTTTGCCTGTTGAAAGCCCTGCAGTGTCTGGGCCACTCCCAACTACTAGAGAGGCAGAGATTGGGAGGATCACCGTTTGAGGATAGCCTGACAGTTATTAATAAGATCCTATCTCGACTCAACAAGCTATGATTATCCATTATTGTAAATCCCAGCTACACAGGAGGCCATAGGTAGGAAGATCAAGGTCTAAAGCTAGGCCTGGATATTGGGAGACCCAACCTAAAAAATAACAAAAGTAAAGGGGATGGGATAGGAGCATGGCTCATTAACACACCTATATGGCAAGTTAGAGGCCCTGAATTCAAACCCCAGTAACCCTCCCCCACCCTTCCTCCACAACACACAAATTGA